AAAAATATAAGTGCGTATATAAATACTGTGTATTTTTTATTAAATTTATACACAATAGTACAAAACACTAAACAATTAATTAAAAATAATAAAACACTCAAATGATTGCTCACAGTGGAATTTAAAGAATTACCATGGAGAGTTTATCAGGCGAACTTTGTATTTATTGTTACTTTGTATTATAAATGACTAGTCTACTTAACTTCATTACTTAATTTAATATAAAGGTTATAATTTATAACTTATAAACATGAGTTATATTTTTTATATTATATCTCGTTATCAAAATGTATATAGTAGTGCAAAACTAGTGTATACAGCAGTAATTTATATGCTCTGGGTGCATCAGTTGATTTAGAAGAAAGTATTATTTTTATTATTATTATATTTTTTATAAAAGCTTATTTGTTATGATAATAATTTAGTTAATATTATATAATAAACGAAAAACTTTTACATAATTGCAAATACCAAAATTATTACGTTAAACTCTAATACAAATAAAATTAATTAAATATCTTAATTAAAATATATGAAACACATTGTAAATAACTACCGTATTAAAATAAAATACACTTTATAAAAACAAAAAAAACTCATTAAAAATGTAAATATACTTATAATCTATTTTTAATTATATATTGTAGTAAATAATTAAATATTAAGTTTGAGCTATTAATTACTACTTAAGTTAATAATCTTTAAATATTATGTATATTATAATGTTGTAATGTATGTTAAGTCTTGATTAACACGATGGCTAAGCGTAAGCTTATTGGGAGTTTTGCGGACAGCATACCCGACCTATTGCGAGCCACAACACATACTGGTGCTCATCGGGACATAAACGTCAATGAGCTATTGAAATACGAGGTAAGGGGTCTCATGTCGGAGCGTATACTCCGTAACCCCAACAATCCCGAGTCCTACGACTGGACTGAAAACCTACTGTCCGAGGCTTACGGACGTCCGGTTAGGGATGTCAATGATATAACGGCTTTCATAGACATGTGTTATACGACTGTCAATAAGAAAGTGGCGTTTGTTATCAACTATTGGACTATATTTGCGTTTATGATGGATGACTACATGGACCAGATTGTCATGGATGATGAGGGAAAAAGTGAAATTTGGTATTTAAAAAATTATACTAGGACATGTATACAGTATAATAAATGCTTAGTTCCAATTTATTTTTCCCTTGAGCATCTTAACATTATCACATATAGTTGACTATGAATTATGACACACATCTCACTTGTTGTTAATTATGGTGTGCAGCGAATGGCAGCAAAAATACATAACCGGCAAAAGTGGCGGTCATTTAGGTTTAGACAAAATGCTTGTAAAAACATTGGCAATAAGTGGCCAATATATGGCCCCTGACCAGTATGTCCGACACGTGGTGTCTAACGTGCGATGGATGGGTACGTATTTGACTGTCAATCCAACGAAATTCAATGTCGACCACCAAATGCTGACATATGTGCAATACTGGACACAAAGGTATTCAGGATCATTTATCATATATTGTACATAAAAATATCTACAATATGTGTAATATAAATGCCAGGGAAATGGACTGCATGTATATAACGGTGTTTATATTCTCGGAGTTGAGTGTGGGTTTGGATGCCATAGAGCACCGGCTGACTACTGATCCCATTTGGAAGGCCTTTAACGTGTCGGCCGGCAAACACTCCGTACTCGTCAATGAGGTCTACTCTGTCAAGTCGGAGGTACCCAAAGGTCAGGGTAGGTATAGCTACCCTGTCTACTCGTTATGTGGCACCAGGGCTGGCATGTACAGGAGGCTGTGAATAACATAATTTAATAAATGTTGTGACCAAAAAATACATATAATTAATTGCTAAAATAACTTTTTTATAATTCTATATTTGTTGATTAATTACAGGTAATATAAAATTTAAGGTTATGATTTCATTATATAATTATTTTACAATAATTTCTAATCTAGAATAATATGATTAGGATGTAAATATTAATAATGAAAATTAATAATATAATTATAACATTTTTATTTATTTATTTAATTTAAAGTATAATCATAAATTATCAATATTTAAATTATTTTAAGAATATATATTGATTAATAACTAGATGGCTCGCAAGTCCTATTACCCTGCTTATAAGGGTATAGTTTGCATTTGTCGGAGTCATAAAACACCACCAAATCGTTCAATATTTTGCTTAATTTTGTGAACTCATCGGATGTACAGTCAGTCTATTGAATGAGAAAAAATATTTTTTCAGATATTTTAAATTGTGGAAACTTGATAATTAAAAATTGTAATAATACTAACTTTCCCCGATGTTTCATAACAATCGCGTGCTTTCCATAACAGACAGCACCAGTATTTGACATCTTCTAGATTGTTGGCTACCAGCGCCGACTCGTGAAAGCATTGGTTTACATCGGGAAAACTTTTTTGCGCACATGGGTCATTTAGCAAATCTTTATCTGGGTCATTGGATTTTATTAGCAGAATGTTTGCCACAGATAATGTTGTCGGAGTTTGGTTTGCCAAGTGAGCCAGTGCAAATATGTATATCAATACAAATGGCAACATTGTTAAATTATTGGATTTTAATTAATATTATTGTTATATTATAATTTAATTTTTATAAAATTTGTGATTGTATTTATACTTAATTATTAACCTTGAAAAAATAATATTAAAAGAATTTAAGATATTATAAATAGATATTTGGTCCAATAAAAAAAATTAATCATATATTTTGAAAATAGTTCGAATATTGTTAATGGTAACTTGATGATAATTTGATAATTATTCTACACGTGCTTGTTGTTCCTTCAAGGATGATTTAATTGATTTGTTATTATCTGATACATATTACCTAACCTACTGTATAATATAATATTATGTTATAAGTATATCAATAACTCCAGTGCATGTTGAGTCTAATAAAGCAACTAGTACATTACTCTATCATTATTTTCTGATTTTCTAGTCAATTATTACTAATAAAACTTTAATTTTATGTTTAAATGCAATTATGAATTCGAAGGATATATTTGGTTTTAAATTTTATGAAATCATGTTTGTCTATGAGGCGGATATTATTATACAATGATTGTTAAAAATAGTTTTAAAATAAATAAATGATCTTGCAATTAAATGCAATTAAAATAAAATAATTTTAAACACATGAGTCATGAATATTATGTCTATTAAATTATATTTAAGTAAGCATTATACTTTACAAAATAATTATTCATATTTACAAAAACACTTATTTTAATATAATTAAAAAATTATAAACTAATTCAAACCTAATCTACCGGTGCTTATAATGAGTGAAACACTTACTACTGGAAAGTCCATACTATTGTCTCCGTTGACAATAAGGGGCCAGACATTCAAGAACCGGATCGGTGTGTCGCCCATGACTCAGCTCATGGCCGATAAGCAGGGCTTTGTGGGGGACTGGCATCTGATGAGCGCCGGCTCTTATGCCAGTGGCGGCGCCGGACTCGTCATGATGGAGGGCACGGGTGTTGAGCCCATGGGTCGCATATCCAATCGAATTCATAATTGCATTTAAACATAAAATTAAAGTTTTATTAGTAA